CAATTTCTTCACTTCCTTGTTAATATTTTTCATTGTCTTTCTTATTATTGTTACCCTTGAAAGTATGAAATGACATCTCAAAATGTGGTTTTGAAGTAAGGAAACCGAGCATCTTTTCATGTGCTAACTGTTCATGTTTGGGTCCTTTTGGAGAACTGTATATTCATATCCTATGGCCACTTTAATTGTATTTTCTTTTTATTCTTGAGTTTTAACAGTTCTTTTTGTATTCTGAATACAAGTCCTTTACCAGGTATATGATTTGCAGGCTGTGGCTTGGCTTTGCATATTCTTTCTTATGTCTTTAACTACAATGTTTAAAATTTTGATGATGTTCAACCTTTTCCACTTTTAAGAACCCTTGTGATGACATTTGGACATGTGACCTACCATATTCATAGGTCAAGAATTAGGACGTACACATTTTTGAGGGGGATCTTTAGTGTGCCTCTCAAAATACTGCTCTTTGAGAGACAGAATTGCCTTCTGCACTTAGAGAGAGGTTCATACAGGGGCACCTGACTGAGGGCATATGTCACCAGCTATGGAGTAGCCCTGCAGGCTTCTCTGCTGTTTCTGTGACATAACTTTATCCTTTATCACATAGATACAGTATATCAATATTTGACCAGATTGTAAAGACCAGCCTCTGGTAAGCACGGGAGTAATAGACCTGTTCAAGAGGGGGAGGGAGAAGCAGAAGCAGCATGAAAGAAATGGACCCCAAGCAGTGGTGCGTGTGTTCATGCTCTTTAGTCACCTCTCATTCACTGCAGTTTATTTTTCTATTTTTAATGGCCACTTTCTTGATGTATAATTCATATATTCTAAAAGTAACCACATTAAAGAGTACAATTTGCTGTTTTTAGAGTGTTCACAAAGTTTAGCAGCTGCTGACACTAAAAAATTCTAGAAGATTTCATTATCCCTAAAAGAAACTCTGCCCTTTGGCAGTCACCCTTCATTCCACTCTGGGAACCACCACTCTTCCTTTCTCTGTAAATTTGCCTAGTTGAGAGACTGGACAACTGTCTTCCAAAACAGCTGCAACATTTTTCTTTTTCACCAGTAGTGACTAAAGGTTCAGTTTTCTGCATTCTCACCAACACTTGTTATTGAACATCTTTTGGGTTATAGACATCCCAGTTTACGGGGAGGAGACTCTCAATGTGGTTTTGATTTGCTTTTCACTACTGTAATGATGTTGAATAACTTTTCATGTACCTTGCAGTTTTGTCATTTTGTCACAGAGTACTGGGGATGATTCCCCCTTGATGAAATTCTTTATTTTCTAGCTGATTGGAACTTAGAATTCCAACTTTGGTTGAAAAGCAACAAATGACCATTGGTTAGTTTTGCCTCCTTCCTCACCATGTTCATTAGCTGGATCCTACTTCTTACCTTGAGCTTAAAAAAATGTTCCAATGCCTGGTCTGCCATGCTATATTTTCATTTGTGACTATTTGTTCATATACTTACTTAATGTTTTGCATCTCATCGTAATCTGAACTCTACTGGCTCAAGAGCTTTGTCTTGCATTATCATAGTATCCTTGTTGTTAGAATAGCACTTAGCAATAAATGGTTTTGAATTAATGAATGCATGTGTTAGAAGAATATACATAAGTGATACACAAATAAAAACCTGGGTGCTCCATAACCAGATACATTTCCGGAACACTGTATTATGCAAACTTAACATTGTATTATGCAAGCATTTGGTATGGAATGTATCACAATACTTTTAATATTCTCTTCCAACTCAAGCTGCTCAATTACAAACCCTAGTAATATTATAGGGTGCTTTAGTAAATGGATATTTTGTTAACTTTTTGAAAAGTTAAATTGTGATCATCGCTGCTTAACATGAGCAGATTATGTTAAATTGTCCCGTCAATGCCAAAATGTTTTAATTTTGAATGTTTCCATTCTGTGGGGAGGGAATGGTGATATTATTTCTTCACAACAGTGAGGCTTTGAGCTGACTTTGTCATGATCTCACTATTCTGAGAAGCTGAGTATGTTATCAGGATTGTGGGATCAGCCTGTCACTTAAGAGTTTATGTCAAAATATCAAATTGAGTACAGATTCATGCCCTTGGGGAGAATCACCTCTACAGTGAGCTGTTTACTCTCTGTGGTGTCATGGTGAGTTTCAAGTGGTTACTGGTGATTAGGAGTGGCATTTCCAGAATGGGCAGCAATGGAGCTTACAGAGATAGCTCTAAACATTGGATTCAGATAAGCAATATAAAGGAAAGGAGCCAGAGGACAGGCCCACGCCCCGAAGGTTGTCCTACTGCAAGCTCACAGCCAGCCACATGCCAGTAGGCTGGTCAGCCTAGCAGAACTGTCAGGATATGGGAAGACCAAGAAACGCTCCCAAGTGAGTCTACTCATAATGTAGCAAGGCAGGCAAAACAGGGTGACCTTGGTGCCCACGTTAGTGCTCTTGGCAAGAGTGCAGTTGGGAAACAGATGATGCTTAGCCAGTGATTCTGAAGTTTGGGCCTTAGCCAGCAGTATCATCATCATGAAAACTTGTTAGAAATACAGATTTTTGGGACCTGGAAATCTAATATTTTAACAAGTTCAAGTTTGAAAACCGCTAGTCAGAACCAGAGAAGCAAGTTTTGGTAAAAGATATCTTTAACAATTCCACATTCAAAAATGTTCTGTATTAGATTCAAGTATTAAATTTTCAAAGTGGAATAATTCTATTGCAGCTGTACATAGAGTCTTGTGTGTTGAACACTATGCTAAACACATTCTTAGAAGATTTGATCCTCTTACCCCCTCTATGAGGTAAAATAAAAAACACTGCAATCACCATCATAGCCAAAAATACTGACAAATAGGCCTATTATGATGCAGTGACCCAGCTGGTTACATGTTAGGTCCAGCTGCACTGTGATACTGTAATTTCTGGAGAACAGAATGTGTTTTGCCAGTGCCTTACCAGCAGAGCACTGGTCTGAAAGATCTGAGTGCTAGAAAATGCAAGGGAAGTAATATAGTTTGGATGGATAAATGGATCAGGGGGAGAAAAACAGAAGAGAAAAAGGAATACTTGGAGGAAGGAAAGAGGAAAGGAGGAAGAGAAGAGTAGCAGCAGGTTTGAGAAGTAAAAACTGAGAGAAAGCTCTTCCGAGGGTCGGCTAGATCCTTGTTCTGGACGCTTTCCTATGGAGGACCCAGCCAAGAGCCCCAATTGTCTGTGTTAAAGGTACAGCAAGAGGATAAAATAACAAACAAGGACAAACTTAGTAGTACGTGATGCGTGACTAGGAAGTCCATGTCCCAGATGGACCAAGACAGTGACTCTCCTAAGACAGCTGTTATTTTGGGGTGTATACAGTGATATGTGCAGCTAGGGAAATGTTCAAAATTCTCAGAAGACTTAGAGGCCTGAGACTCAGCAGGGAAATATAATCTTGGAATGACTCAAGAGGGTGGAGGTGATCTTATGCTAAACAGGACCTTGTCCTGGAGAGTTCTTTATATTTAGTGGTGTTAGTTTTAATCTTAGAGGGTGAGAGAAGATGGCTCACACCTAAAGAATTAGTGGGAAATCTGGGGCTGGGGATTTAGCTCGTTAAAAATGAAAAAGACAAAAAAAAAAAAAAAAAAAAAAAAAAAGAATTAGTGGGAAATCTCAAATTGATGGCATCAGTAATCCCAAGCCTCCATTTTATCCTTTAGGAAAGTATGCAAAATTAGCTATTAGGAATTCGTGGTCCCCATTCTTTCTGTTTGTTTTCTGCTGTTTCTTTTAAGTTGTTCAATTCATGGGCTTTAATCAATTTTAGCCTGGCCCCACACTACCTGGCTTTCTCCTAGAAATTTGCTTCCTGAGAACTGCCTGGCTTATCTTCCCTTGTTTGGCTGATTTTCCCCCCTCTCTATGCTCAGATAGTCTTTGTCCCTTGCGTATATGGATGCTCCAGTTGCTGAGGGACCCGTAATCAGCTTCACCGTTGCCTGGAGAAGATTCTGGTGAAAACACATCACTCTTCAGTGACTATGTACTCAGGGGCTAATGCAGAACCTTTCTCTGCTTCATTCACCCTGGACTGCCTTGCTCCCTGCCTCTGCTTTAATAACGTGTCATTTTTGCTTCCTTGTATACAGAGCCACAGGGAGAGTTAATCTTGCATTCTCCTAAGGTCCTTTGGAGTTTTGCAACTTAATCACAGTAATCAAGAAGGGGTAGGCATGATCAAGGACAAGGTTTGATTCTTTGCCTGTCTCTCCGCACTTAGGCTTTTCATTTTCATAGTCCTTGCTGTGGTTTGTAATAAACACAGGAACATGGTTCAAGAGCAGGAATAGGTTTAACTTCAGCCAAGGTACAATAGGCACTACTGGGAAAGTAAGACTTTCAAATGGCAGTTCAGCCTTGAATAATATATTGAATTAGAGATGTATGAGCCTTGATTCATGATCTCTGTATAATAGCATTGCTATGCATATCACCTGAGTGCTTTAGTAGAGTAGAGAAATAGACCATTTAAAAGATTGTGCTCACACAATCAGTGCCCATGCTGAGGAAGAAAGAGGGTTTGAAAGTCAGATGACCTACCTCTCTGCTGGCTCTACTGTGACCTCTCTGAACATTGGTTTTCATATATGAAACATGGAGATCGTGTTAGTGTAGGATTTTTAGAAGCATTACATGAGATAATACCAAGTACAAATACATAGTTGATCACACAAAATAAAAGCTTAATAAATGAGAAATGTTTGCAGTACTATTATGCAATTATTATTTAAAGTTCCAGTTCTGTAATTTGACCCAAACTATTTCCTGTTTTCGTTCATTCAGCCTTTATTTATGCAGTGCTCTGTTAGCCAATTCTTATTTCCTGTTAGTTTCAGAGTCACAGTGGTCATCTCTAAGACACATTGTCATTTTAGAGCACTGGCTAAATACAACCAAGACTGACAACTATGAATAATACCACAAGGCTTCTAAAAGACTGGCATTTCACTCAAACTCACGTGTGCTGCCAAGTTGTTGCCTCTTGTTTTGTGCTTCTCTTCTCAGCAGATTTCATATATAATTCCTGAAAGTGAACATCATCTTCCTCTGAAAAATAGTACAGCAGTAACCAGTGCTGAGTAATTGGGCTTCATGAGGACGTCACTGTCAAGTCTAAAAATATGTGGAAAGATAATCATATTTTTTTTCTGTCTTACCATTTTCAGCACGTTCATGTCCACATTCTTCCCCGAAAGGCTGGAGACTTTCACAAAAACGACAGCATCTATGATGAGGTGAGTTTGCCTGCTGTGCTCTTGTTGTTTGATCACAGGGGCTGTCAGTGTGGTGAAATCAACCAAGGGAACCAGATGTCACACTGGATGTGATCTTAAATGGGATTTACCCAATGTAACTCAGAAAGTGGCATTAGAGGCCAAGTGGCCATCATGGGAATCTGAGACAAATAAGTTCTAATAATTTCTTTTTCAAATGAAAATCAGCAGCATGCAGAGTCCTTATAATTTCTGCCTTGTCATTTGCCACTAAATATTTGTGTGGAGATACTGGCCTGGAATCTCCATAGAAGAAACTCTGTAAGCCAGCAATGGAAATCAAGCAGATTCATATAGGATTCTTTTAAGCAAATAATAAATTTAGTTTTTAGCACATTTTGAAACTTAACTTGTATCTCCAAATAGCGTTTATTCAAAATGGAAACTGAATTATGATGGGTAGGAACTAGCTGGTTTGAATGATGTGTGTGTAACCTGTGTGTGATAAAGCGTTTAGCCATGAACTGATTCATGGATCTTCCCACCCAAGTCATAAATGTGAAATCAGTACACACATGTATTAGCAAGAGTCACCTTATCTGCTCTTCGTGTCATGTCTGCGTGACCATCTGTAGGTGTTCATTTGCCTTGTGTGGAACACGCAGCCTCTGAGGAATTAGATTGGCTGAAAATATAAAGTTATTTTAGATAGCCTGCTTATTCTAGTCAATTAAGGAAAAGTGTGGTTTCCACATCTTATTGCTGATCAAACAGTAGAAGCTCCTAGAGTGATTGGTTGAAAAGGACCTTGAGGGTGTTTCTAGATATAAAGAAAGGTGCTCTATTGATTAGCAATTTCTATCATGGATGTCAGATGGGAAAGAGGTGCCATAGTGGTCATATACTCCTTTTTCAAGTCTTGTTTATTTTGGTTGTTTATCTACGACTCTGCTAGGTAAATCCATAAGATTCCTTTCAGCTGCTTGCAGGGGGACATGTAGAGTCTGTGATTTTTGTGTGTTTATGGGGTTTTCTTGCAATAGCTGGGCAGTAAATTGGCTGTGCAGACCGTGAAAATAGAGATCAACATTTAAAAGTGTGATTACTTTTCTGGGACTCACTGAACTGTTGAAGATGCGGGGTTATCACTTGGAGTAGGATATATCTTATTGTCTCTTTCTTCCTGTGTTTGCCAAAAGCCCAGCAGACCTGTGCCAAATGAAAATTGTCTCATCACTGGTACATAAGTGCTGTTTTGTGACAATCTCAATTCCTAGGAGGATCCATCCTTAGGGATTTTATTCTAGGTGACTTTGAAGGCAATGGATGCACCAGTTATTGTATAAGAAAATCCCCAGCAGGCCTTGGTGTATGACTGGGTATAGGAATAGGCACTCTGCCAAACTGTGGATTTCCAAAGCCATTCTACAGTGTTACACGTTGATCCAATTTTCACTGCCTGTGGAATGCAGTTTGGGGTTTGTTAAGGGCTTAGTCCATGTTACAGGAAAGTCAGCATTGTGGAGTAATTATAAAGAGATACATTAAAAAGGAAGTAGACATCCTATTAACATAAACTAAGTTTAACAAAATATTGCCATGAATATTTTAATGAATAAATTAGCACATGATTTATATACAAGCGAAGACTGCTAAAGTGGTATTAGAGTGCTTGAAAACACTGTTTCCTTAGGCTGAGCAGTCACCTTGAAATCCTATTTATGTTGCAAATATGCTAGTGACAGAAGCAACACAGACACATTTCAGCTGGGTTCAAGACATGGTATCCAGCGTGGTAGTCAGTGTGTAGCCTTTCTTTCTCATCTTCTTGCCATTGAATGTGTGCACTGATGCCATCTCCAGCCCCTCAGATAAGAATGACACGTGTTCTGACAATGGAACTCTGCAGGAGTGTTGCAGGAAAAGTAATTAGCATGAGGGGTGTTTGTTTTACAATCAATGAATAAGTCATCTGCCCTATAGAGAGTATCTGTCTCCTAAGGGAAATTGTGGTGTAAAACACTAAAGATACTGAACACTGGAAATGAGCGGAATCTGACCCAAATCCCAGTGCTGCCTACTAATGATATGATGTTGAGGAAATCACTTAACATTTGCATTTTAGTTGTCTTATCTTTAAAATGGAAATAAGAGTTTATATTACTCTAAAAAATCATCATATACATTTCATGACGTATTTGACCAGTAGCATTATTTTAAGGTTTGACACAAACTAAACATTTTAAGAGCTGGTTAGTTAACTTACTATTATTATTAATTTTGCTTTTACAGTTGTAGTAATGGGGGTAAGTGGATTACCTGAATTAAGGTTAGGTCGTTGTATACTGCCATCCGAGACTCTTTCCAAGGGCCATGCTTCCAGTTTTCTCTCTGTTTTTAATCACTCCTTCTTAGTTTCATCTTCCTCTCTGTATAAAACTCCTCCAGTTTAAACACATAATGAGTTTATACCTAGAAACAAGCATGGGAAGCATGAGGCATGGCTTCAATTTTATTGATATGTAATATGCATTAGACTGAGAGATCATAATTAGAAATGGTGGATTGATGAGGGATGGCACTCTTTTCACTGAAGAAATCACTGCCTGTGGACTATGCGTCTCCTCAGGACTTACAGCAAACAGACTGCCTTGAGGATGAGGGGTGGGAAACTGAGTGGCAGGAGACTGAGCTCAGTCAATGCAATGGTATTCCTACATGGGAAAGGTGGTTAAAGGGGCTCTAGGTTGTGTCTGGTAGAAATGTTGCATTTTCTCTGGGCACCATTTTACGAAGGATAATGATAAGCTGGACAAAATTCACATAAGAACTTTTGTGATGAGAGGTTCTAGAATCAAAGATTAGGAAAGGGTTGGTATTTAAACTGGAGAAGTGATGGCTTGTCGAGGAACGATAGGGTCAGAGCAACTGTTTTTGAACATCTTCAGAGATGCAGTGGAAAAGCATTATGTATGTTCTGCGGAGCCCCAGGAAGCCCATCTGACATTATCAATCTATAAGGAGGCACACACCATCTCCAGTAACAGCAGGAGACATTGAGAAAAATCTGAGCAGTGAGAGTGTCATTGAGAGAGTGAGTGTCCCGTCCTCAAATCCATTCAGACACTGTGTGTGTAGTCACAGTTCTTGAGTAAGGTGTGTGCATTTGGTCACTGCCTGAACTTCATGGCTCTGTAGTTCCTTCTTTCTACATCTGGCCCATTTGATCTTTCCTTCCATTTTAGGCTGTGCAAGGTTTTTTTATTTTATTTTATTTTTTTAATCTTTTTGAGACAGGGTTTCAATATGTAGTTTACAGTGGCCTCGAACTCGCAGCCATCCTCCTACCTCAGGCTCCGAAGTACTGGGATTACAGGTGTGCACCTGCATTCCCAGCTGGCTGTGCAAGTTCTATAGCAATACTGCCCTTTTTGCTATTGGCATTACAACATTAGAGTTATCGCCTAGTGAAGCACATTCTCTTTGTAGTTGTTGTTTAGATCCTGGAATACAAGATATCAGCCTTTTTTGCTTTTATGAGACCCCATTCTGTTGACTTTTCTCTTTCCCAGCTTAGTACCTGCTTTTCCTCTAGCGTAGATTGGAATATTGATGGCCTGGGCTTTCCTTGCCTCTATATATATATATATATATATATATATATATATATATATATATATATATCTGATTATTGTCCAAAATACATTTTTAATGGTGTGCTTTATTTTGTTTGCAATGTTTTTAAATGAATGTGATGCTATCAGGCATGTCACTCATGCTATAGGTCACTGTATTTCTCATGAATCTGTCCCTTAGCTAGGCTTGCTTTGCTCACTTGTGATACTCGCCTGGCCCCTGTAAGTATGAGTTTGAGATTCCTTGTCTATTGTGTGGATAGCCCTCTCCTCTCTACCATCATCTGTAACAGCTGTTTCACCTTCCTATTTGCAATGTCGAAACCCTGGGTGAATTCTTCAACTTCAATTTCAGGTTCTACCTACTCACCTCCCCAGCTTCTATTGATCTCATTCTCTCTTACTGTTTGCTTTTGTCAAATATTCTATTCTTGTGGTGACTTCGTTGTGATGCTTGCCTCCAACTTCTATCTTTTCCTCCCCTTCCTCCTATTTCCTAGCTGCATCTGGATTTCAGCTCAAAGTCACCTCCTTAAGAGCCTTTTTACTCTTCTTCTGTTACCACTAAAATCACTAATCCTCTATCCCACACAGAATAACTCTTTAAATTACTATGTCTGTTTATTCAGTAACATAACATTTGAAATTAGGTATTGGTATACATACAGTGCCTGCATTCCCAGTGTCATTGTAAAGCCTTGAGAGCCCGCCCTGATCTGACAAAGAGTTGGTTAGCAGTGGGTATTTGGTAAAGAGATAAGCACGTAGAAGAACTAAAGGAACTATAAGAGCTTGGAATATCCTACTGGTTCTGATATAATTTAAAGGTGAGGATTTCTTGCTTTCAGAAGGTTGATTCACGGATCCATAGCTGCACCATGAGCTGCATGATGAGACTCTGACATGGTGCTATCAGACATCTGAAGTTAATTTAATGGGGCACTGGTAGAACAGAATCCTTTGGTCAGGAATCAGTGTGCAGAAGGCTGAAAATTGTGGCAAAACAGAAAGACCTGAACAAGCAATTATAGACTTTGTCTGATCATGAGGCTAAACATTCTGGAGATAATAAGTAAGTTGCCCCTAAAAACCTAAAACTTGGGTTTGCCTGACCATGAAAATACAGATGTGGGATTTGCTGAATGCAGGCTTGAGAGCTACTTTCTCTCATTCTAACTTTCTGTCCTCTGAGTTTATCTTCACCTGCTTTTCCTCCAACTCTCTGACTTGGACTTGTCCTCATGCATTTGTTCACTGTTTTATGTACCCTATTTCAAAGGAAAAGTTTCTTCCTTTCTACAACCTGAGTTCAAGCTCTCTCCTGTCTAAAGCAGAATTTCTTATAAAGCCCTTTCTTTGTGGTTCTCCAAGCAGACTGTATTTATCTAGAATTTAGCTCCTAAATTCTTTCTGCATTTATTTTCTTTAAATTTCCATGGATTATATGAGACCTTCTCTGAACTCAGCAG